ACAGTGGAGTCTGAAGCATGGCAGTCTGCCAGATGTGAACTGCTTGCAGAGTGCTTTGGACCATATTGTGGCCAGATATCTACTTAGGTACTCGTCTTGGAGAAGACTGACAGCAGTCATACTCTGTGGCTGTAAGTATGTGTCTTCTACACAACAACTGGCCAGAATGTACCAACTTGAAGTCACCTCTTTTATTCACTTGCTGTGGCTATTTAACCATAGGCATACTGAGCTGGAAAAAGTCAGGAAGAATGAAAATGAGAAGGATGTGGCCTGGATGTAATCTAGTGTCCTACTTGTTCTACCCATCAGTATATAAATTACGTGACCTTTATGAAGTCCCTCGGAATGGAATGGCTTGGCTACAATATGTCATATTGGAATATAGCTCTGATAGTTTCTTGAAGCTGCTTAACAGCCTGCAAATGAGACAGATGGAATGACTGCCTTTGAAATGAAATGTAAGCCTGTAGTTCTGCAGCACAGTTCTCTTTCAGCTGTCACCAGCAGTGGGCTTATCTTCATTTTTGACCATCCTTGAGGATGCTTCTGTATTTCTTGCTGTGACAGAATCAAACAAGTAGAAATTCTTCAGTGAGTGTTACTGTAGCTGAGTAATAAGGAAAACGTGTTGGTTAAACATGTTTTCTTTAGCTGTGGGAAGGAAGATCCATCTAAAACTGATGCTTAGTTTTCTGGATTTTGTTTTTTTTTTTTTTTTCCTTTTACGCATAACAAAGAAAAACTGTCTGCCACTGTGAGACTTTATTGTGTTTTGTCAACTTTTCATGTGAGCAGTAAGTTAAGTTTGGATAAGATTACTGTGCAATGTAACTGTTGGAGGCTTCTGGCAATTTTACATTTTTAACGATGTTTCAGCTTAGTTTTAACTCGTGCTGGTGCTGAGAGATCTTTGCCTCGCCTTGGGAACGGACAGTAGTGAAATTCATTCATTGGCTTCAGAATTTAAGCCATTTTACTTGAACTTGAACAGCGCAGGAGGAATTTTGAGGGACAAAAGCATATCTTTTAGTCTTGCTGTTTATCTAACAGCACTGTTGACGTTAATAACCCTGCAGGTGCCATTTGGGATAGCTGTTAAAGCAGTAGCTTTAAAAGTATTGTTGGATACATATATATGGCTGTTCTGCGTCTTCTTGCCTCACTCCATAATGGCTCATTCTAGACAAGCCTGCAACAGCCAGTTAAATGAAACTCCTAGGAGATTAAGTAATTTCTTTATTATTTCCAGATGCTTTCTGGATGAAATGTGTGTAATAAGGAGACGGTTTTGGACTTAATCATCCAACTTTGGTTTCCAATATATGGAGTTAAGTTTTTATCACCAGCTGGTTGCTATGGTAGCTGTGTTTTGTCAAGTTCTCGATGAGATTATGTAGTGCATTCAAAATAGAACGGCCTGCAGGAATTACTAAAAACGGGCTGATTTTATGTTCGTGTACTGTGCAGATTTATGATCTATGGAGAATCTACAAATTCAAACTGAGTTTGCTGTTTCTGATGGGTCTTCCTGGCAGCGCACTGTTCCAGCTGTGTGCTCAGGGGGTGGGATTTTGTTTTTGTCTTTTGCTGAGACTGCAATCCATTTCTGTCAAAGGATGCTGACTTCACAGATTCCTGAAGTATTTTAGCCTAGCTTCCCCTAATGCTTTCTTATTTCTTAGAACGTAAATATCTCAATTTATAGCTGTAACCAATAGTGCATGAGTATAATGGATAGAGTATAATGGTGCTTCAAAAAGAAAAAGCTTTAATTTCACTTTGGGTTAAGAAAAGCTGAATGAGACATACATACTTGTCATGTTTCTTACCTCCCTCTCCATTTCAGACTTCAGGGATTATTGCCACACTTCCTGAGATTGGAGAAACAGTTAATAATATTTGAGAGTAAATATTTCAATGCTTGCAGACATTGCCTAAACACCCAGAGTGAGGACCTAGCTTCCAAACTTAATGAAATATTCTACTCAAGCTAGTGATATCCCAGACTGAAGTATGTTCTCTGACCAGTTTATCTAGATGATGTACACAGTGTCCAGCCTCGCTGGTAACACTTTAAAATGATGTGCCCCTTTCACTTGGCAGAGAAGATAAATGAGTAGCTCTAGAAATTAAAACTTTATCCTCTGATTTTTGTTTTACCAGAGCAGATGAATTGCTGGAAATAAGGAATGTGTTTTCAGGCCTGACAAAGAATACTGATTGAAGACAGTGTAGGGAACTTGGAAAGTTTTAAACTTTTAACATTTACATGAACACTTGCATCCTTTTGGCATTTATTTCAGAAGACCAACTTCTGTTTAGTATTGAATTCCTAAAGCTGACAAGACTGTTTGGTGAGTACACCAGCATATCTCCTGCACGTGAACAGGACAAATAATCTACTTCAGTTAAGACAAAAAATGCGTGGCAGAAGACACTTCAGGCTTTAGATTCTATCAGTTATCTATTTATACGGAGAATGGTGCTTCTGCTGTAAAACCTGCTTGTTAGAGTTTGGCCAAGTTGAATTTGAGGACTGTGTGTGTGAAATGTTGGTGAAAACGGGTTAAACTTTGTGATCCAAGCAGATGAGTTCTAAATGGTCAGGCACTGGAATGGCTGCCCAGGGAGGTGGTGGAGTCGCCATCCCTGGCAGTGTTCAAGAGGCGCCTGGATGAGGAGCTACGAGAGATGGTTTAGTAGCTTGTGGCACTGATAGGAATGGGAGGGTGGTTGGACTGGATGATCTTGCAGGTCGTTTCCAACCTTGCGATTCTGTGATTCTGTGATCTGTAAAGAGCGAGGGAAGTGAAGGAAGTGAGCTGTGATCTCTAGCCTTGTCAGTCCGGAAATGAATTGGAGTTTCTAGGCCAAATGAAAAGCTGGAGACATGCCCTGATTTATCTGAAGAACAAGATGCATTTAGATAGCGAATGCGATTTATGATGCAGAACAGGTACTGTGAATCCTTGAACCCTGAAAAGCTTTACCATGTTAATAACAATAGGTGGACGAGTATGTACAAGTAAGTAGTTTTTCAGGGCTGGGTGTGGGGGAAGATGGTTTTCTTTTAGTTGTGTGCACTGCCTGCCAAGGCGCCCAACATCTCAGTGACTTGAGTCTATCAAACAATGTCAGAGAATGAAAACGTTCACTTTAAGCCCATCTGTAAGCATTTTTGTTCAAATGACAAGGCAAACTTATGTAGTTGCTTTGACTTTGGGCCTAACTTGTTTCTGTTTGTATGGTGTGCTGGTCTTTCTGCATGTTCTCTTCTTTCTGTGCTCTTGTGGCCATTATTGTAGCTTGTTAGTATAAACCAGTTTTCTGCATGCTATGCAAAATGCAGAAGTTGTTTTTTGTTTAGGTGTGGAATCTTACTGGTTGTGTAGGTTTTTGTTGTTGTTGCTCTTGTTTTGTGGGTTTTTTTAGTCTAAATGAAGAGGTAACAAACTGGAATAATTTATATTTGATCTGGGATTCCCTCTTTGCTATTATTAACCTGTCCCGAGTCACTTGTTTCCTCAAATTACTTGATCAGTGTTCATATGACCCACTGCCAGATCATCTTTGGAATTGTGAAGGAGTGAGAAACAGTTATTGGGTAGCATGCAAATGTACAGTGTTTAAATGCCATGAGTTATGCTTATGTGGAAGAAAAAGATGAGATTGGAGATACCATAGTGTGCTGGTGCTGCTCTTGAAGCCTTGTCACATATCTTCCCTACACTGACCAGAGTGGTGTGGGGAAAGGGATGTGTGGAACTGGGGCATCTGATCTCCAACAGATAAGGTTGGATCACTTTCCTACAGAGACAGGAAGCTTTTATTCACGGCCTTGTGGCTGCATACCTGTGACAGATGGTAAAGAAAGCTGCCTTTTCCTGCTGCCACTTGAGATGTTCTGGGAACTGCTGAAAAATCTGATTGCATGTGGCTCTGAATCTGCATCTCAACTAGATGGGCAGTTCTGCATTCCTAGAATGGGACTCATTTCCTTCTACCAAACTTCAGCCAATAGAATCCAGTGCCTGAGCTGGATAATTCATTCTGCCACAGTCACTGACACAGGAGATAACTGACTCAGACTGTTGTAGAATCTTAATCTCCAAAACCAAAAATGCTGACAAGCAATAAACACCTTTGTTTTGGACAGTGCAAGTAGTACTTGAATAAGATTGCACTGCTAAAATTGAAACTGCAGCTTATTTCTTGGTGTATCTAAATTGGGTTAGCTCCTGAAAACCTAACACATATCCGTAGAGTCAGGGGTTGATACAAAACATAAACTGTTGAGAATGTTAAGGTGTTAGTCATGTGAGAAACGTGAGTTGCAAATACTGTTTTGTCAGGTGACATCCATGGTGCATATCAGAAGTCTGGTAAACCTAAGCTTATCCCTCCTGCCTGAGGTCTATCAGTCTTTGGAGTACTCGTACTGCTTTCTCTACTTTCCTTTTTTAATGTCCTTTAAGGTCATGAAGATTTTCTTTTTGAAGCTGTTTGAGTGACTGTTCAATAGAGAAACAGTGAATTGACTCTTCCCAGAGCTGAGGAGTACCATAATTTGTTTGTTCAGATGACTGTGCTCAGGAAGATTCTTTCTCAAGAGCACTGTCAACCTAGTAATCAAGTTTCTCTTTTTTTTTTTCCCTCCTCATTTTATTCTAAAAATGCAGGAACTGAGGTATTTATGGAAGTCAATAACAAAGGCATCTCAGATTAACTATGTGAGACTTTCATGCTGTCTAAAGGCTGCAAGTAAAATGTTTTGAAACATGGTTGTGTCGTTACCTTCTTGGATTCTCGTATAAAGCAGTGCTTAAGTTCTCTCTATGGCGCTTGCCTTCATCCAGTCCTAATGCTGCTTTGGGAAGGGAAATAAGAATTCCTCCTGATGTTTGTATGTTCATGCAAAGTGATGGGGTGGGAAGAAACTTGAGGTCAACACAGCTGTTTGAAACACTGTATCCTGATGTCTGTTCTTTTGATTTCAGGCAAAAGCAAAGAAGCAGAGATAAAGAGAATAAATAAGGAACTGGCAAACATTCGGTCAAAATTTAAAGGTAAGTGAACTGACTGTTCTGAACTGTACTATTCACTTTTCTCATTACATTTTTGTGTTTTTCTTTTGTACATTTGGATTTTTTTGTGTTTCAACTGCAGACATAAGCAAAATTCTGGAGTGGGCTGTTAAAATAACTGCTGAAAGTGTTCTCTTAAGTACAGAACTTCCTGACTGTCGTGTGACTCAACCATAACAGAAGAAAATGAGCTAGTGTTCACAGGCTTTCTAATGCTTTGCCACCCAGCCATGTGACTGCTCAGCCTGTTTTCTTGCAAAAGGCTGGGAGTTAGTTTGAAAAAAAACATGGGTGGGTGTAATTTTTTTCAGTGAAGCAGAACATATTTAAGCATCCCTCCCACCCCCATCTGCTTAGGAAAGTCATGTATTAAACTCCCTTCTAGAAAAATTAAGATAAAAATGTGTAGTTGATGAGGCCATATTGACCACTCCCGTAAATAACAGTGTCAAAGGTTATTCATATGAAACCAAGTTGTATGCAATGATTAATTCTATCCTTATTCCATCCTGAGAGGTGGCAGTTTGCTTTTTAACCAGTGCTGTGACTGTATGCAAATGGTTAAGTTTGTATGTGGATTCAAATCTTAAAGATACTGAGGGATAGTTGAAATTCTTCTGAATGAAATTTCAGCAGAAATGGCTGTGGTAAACATTCTGTTTGAAGAGATATGGGGCTGTGTGTACCTACCTAGATAAGGCATTGCTGCTGTGAGGTCGTGTGTGGAATCATAGAATGGCCTGGGTTGAAAAGGACCAGAGTTTCAACCCCACTGCTATGTGCAGGGTCACCAACCACCAGACCAGGCTGCCCAGAGTATGGCTTCAGAACTTGCTGGCTTTGGATTAAACCTTTTTACCTTCCTAGTCTATCCTGACCTAGTTTAGCATGTCTATTTCAAATAGTTATTGCATGAACTACATAAGGATCCATTGATGTTCTTTTAAGTGGTGCATCTCTTAAGGGTGATGGCAAATTAGTAGGAAGATAAAAAAGCAATAAATGTATGTGACTGACTTATTAAACACGTGCACTAACTTCTTGAACTGTTTTTAGCTAAGTTGGTCACTTTACCTGCAAGACATGCTAACTGTGTCTAATATGAATCTTGTTTGGAGATTAAACCTCTTGGTTAAAATGCTACAATTATACTTACTTTTAGTGGGTAATAAGGTCAGCCTTGTTGATCATGCAGTTGAAAGTAACAAAACTAAATGTGCTTGCTGCTTAGAGTGAATGAACACAATGTCTGCTGGAATCACTGGAGAGTGGACACAAGTTTTATTCTTGGATTGGATAATGGAAAGCTAAGCTCTGGAACAGACTGTGCAAAACCTCGTATTTATGCCAAAAATCAGACCACCGTCAGTGTCAGATGGGAGCTTTGCTGTGTGAAGGAAGTGAAAAATTTTTTAATGGCAGGGGAGATGACTAAATGTAAACTTCCTTTTTTTTCTGTCTTCCCTAGAAAAGTCACTAAAGTACCTCAGTGATCCTATGATGAAGATTGCTGAATTGGATGAGTTGGCCTGAGGGAATGGTGTGGAGCTGCATCAGGGCAGGGTCAGGTTGGGTGTTAGGGAAAGGTTCTTTACTGAGAGGGTGGTTGGGCATGGAACAGGCTGCCTGGGTCAGTGAGCATAGCCCAAAGCTGCCAGAGTTCAAGGAGCATTTGGGCAACACTCTTTAGACCCAGGGTTTGGATTTTGGATGGTCCTGTGTGGAGCCAGGAGCTGGATTCAGTGATCCTCGTGTGTCCCTTTTAATTCAGGAGATTCTGTGATTCTGTGGTGCCTGCTTTGTGTTATGTAGAACAGAAGTCATCTGGTTAATGAATTCTGGGAAAAGAAAGATGAAGTTCCTGTCAGCCCAATTCTCCAACTTTTCAAGCTCCCTCTGGATGGCAGCACAACCCTTTTGGTGCCACTCCTTCTGGCTCTGTACCCTCTGTAAACTTGCTAAGGGAGTGTTCTGCCCCATCACCCAGCCATCTTAGCAGTATGTATTCAAGGGTGGTAACTTGAATGAAATATGACTTAGCCTTCCCGTTAAATGATCTACATGTATACATTACTTTGTGGACTTCAGATGTCCTTCAAATGGAAGACAGTAACTTGACATTCTCTGTAGGAAAACAAGACGAGAATGTCAAAATTTGGGTGGGTCTGAGTCTGGACAGCTTGTCAGAGTGTGACTGCTTGCAGCTTTGAGGGCCTGAGGAGGTGATAGCTGTGTATCTTTCTGCTGCAGAAGTTCTATGTGGGCTTTGCAACATAGTTTTCCTTTGCAGATATCCACATAAAAACACACCGAACTTCATAATATACTTTTGTCTTAATTCAACCAAGATCAGTTTAACCCAATTCCTTTTTATATAACACTGACTTCTTTTTTTTTTAATATTTGTTAAATAAGACAAGTGTGTAATGGAGTCCCTTAAGGTGGGACACCCCTCTCAATTATGGTGTACATGGGGGCCCTGTGATAATTACATGGCTGAAGATGCAGCTGTTAGGCTGGCTGTGTCCCTGTGACTAGGGAAAGGCCTGGCTGTAAGAAGCAAGCTGGTAGTTGTCACAAGCATGCCCTTGCTTGAGCCCAGCATAAGAGGCCGCTGTCAGTCCCTTCCTCTAGACTTCTATGGCCCACATGTTCTACTGCAGTGCCTAGCCCCTCATCTCATGTAGCTAGCAAGATATTGTGAGAATATAAGTATTAATACTCCTTGTCTGTCAAAGGCGTAGCTATTGAGTCTGTTGCCCACGTTTGGGCTAAGCTGCTATTTAAAATACCCTCGTGCTTAATGGACTTGGATAAGGTTGTATATGTATGTATGTGCACAGCTTTTCCTGAGTCGATGCAACGTATGTCTTGGTGCTGGGCTTGGATCTGGCTTCTGTGCTGCTTGTTCAGAAGGAATCCAGAGTCTCTGTACTTAAAGTGGCTCTGTCTCTTGTTTCAGCATGAGAAAGCTGAGTTGTTAAGGTCAGTGTGTCCTTGACAGTTGCTTCAAATGCTCCTGCGTTAACTGAGATAAGACACGTGCAGTATCAAGAAACTACACCAGTGTAATAAAGCAGAAGTTGTAGGAGTTGTGTGAAGCACAGAAAAAATATTCTGTTTGTTTCGTATTCATATTATAAGCTGAACTCGTTCCCAGGCTTGAGCCAAACTAGAAGCCTGACTTTTAGAGTATTAGTTTGTTTGTGAAGGAGATCTGCTTTCTTGAGCAAAAAATACCCAGTTTATTGATTTGTTGCTTAATTTTGATCTCTCAAAAATTTGTGTAATGGCAAAACTGTCCAAATATGTATACAGTGTTTCTGTATATGAAGGAGTTGTGTTTTCTGTCTGATTCAGATCTGATATTGAAGCTTAGGTTTGTTTTTTTTTGTGGTTACTTAATGAGTTTTGTGTTAGAAGAGTAGCTGTTAGATTTAAGACAATCTGATTATGTAGTAAGTGTCTGCACTGACAAAGTGAGTTGTTGGAAGTAAAACCAGAGTTGAAATATCAACTGAACTGTAAGGGTGCTCTAGTGGTAGTGCACTAGCTAAATACTACTCTCTCATGGATTTGTATGGGTTGTCAGTCACAAATGTTCAGCCTTCTATTCAGAGGGCTTAGACTGTATCACACTCACAGAAAGACAAATCCTGTCTTAACATTGAAGTTTAGGTACATTCATAAAAAGCTTTGGGTTTTGGCCTTTAGGCTATGAGCACATTGTATGCAGAAACAGGTTACTGTGTAAAGTTACATAGCTGAAGTAATGTAGAGAGAAAGCACATTAAAAGCAGGGGAGCACTTAAGGATGTTATCCACTATGTTTTATATAAGCCACTATTGAAGTTCTGGAAGATAACCTGTTTATGGACTTGGAGATAGCAGTCGACTGCTTGTGGGATTTGACAGAGCTTCCCTGCTCTGTCCCCTAGTGAATATCCTACACGGCTGAACAGCTTTGCAACCTCTCATGCTGGTGGCAGGCTCTGTAGCTGCATAGCAGGGTATAAAATTGAAAAGCAAATGCTGTGTTTGGACTCACGGTGCAAATCATGGACAGGAGGGAGCTGCTTCAGAGCCAAAAGGTCTTGTTAGGCATTTGTGCCTTCTTTCTGCCATTTCAGATGGCTGCCTGAAAGAAATCTTGCAAACTCAACTGTTCAGAAAAAGCAAGTAGTCTTTGAAATACCCCACTGTGCTCAAAACCTGCTGACGTGTTCTGGATCCTTCCTGTTTCTGCTGACTTGATTTGTAGTACTTACAAATAAATGTACATGGAAGGGTTTAAAAATGGGCTGAGTTGAAAGAAACGATTGTGTATTGCAATAAAGATAACAGAACATGCAAAACTTCCTTCTGCTTTTGTTTTTAGGATGTTTGCTTGGATCTGGGAGGGGCTGTGCTATTTTAGCACGTACTTAAGCAGAGATTTGTTAGTAGTGTTTAAAATGGTCTTTGAACTCAGTAAATGCTACTTGTCTGGGGGAGAATCGGATAGTTAACATTTCAGTAAGGATCTGAAGCCAAGTTTTTCTTCAAAACATGTTAAATTTAGATAACTGTAATGAGACCTTTGCAGTACTTGTTATTTTAAATGCACAGCTAATCAAAAGGTATTTAAAACAAGGTGAGGGGGTAAAAAAAAAAAAGGAGTGGAAATAACATGCTATTATTGCTGGGGACTAAAAGCTTTAGAGGGGTGATCTGGTGGTGAGTGCTTGGCTTAATATGAAGGTTTCCTGTTAATCAGAATCTTTAATCTGCCTGTGCTGTGTGTCAGAAACTGTTGAAAACAGACAATAAGTATTTTTTTTTCTTAAGGAGAAGTGTTTCAGGAATTGTTACAGTGGTGTTCCTCCTTAGAAAGAAGCTGCTTTTGCCCTGGTAGTAGGGTGGTAGTGTTGTGAGGCTGGATTGCATGGCATAGTTTCCATCGAAGATGCTTCACATACCCTAAGATGCTGCAAGGTCACTGCTAATCTGCTAAATATTTTGTTGTGAAAACCAATGCAAGTCTGAGTGTATGTGCTTTTATCTCCTCTGCTTTGTGCTCCCTTTTTGATCTCACAAAGTCAACAGCGGTCATGTGGGAAGATGAGAAGAATGAGGTTTGTACCTGTGACTCCTGTGCACTCCTGCTCTTGCAGCTGGGCAGTCTTGCAGACTCAGGTTTCTCTCACATATGGTGAAGTAGATGTGAAGCTGCATTCTGACACCTTCTGTTGTATCTGGATCTCTGAGAGAAGCATCGTGATACTGATGCTTTTAAATCCTGTAGCAAGTCCTCAGTTATGTAGATCTCAGCCACTAGAGGAGCACAGACTAATATGAGTTCAGGGTATTTAGTATCCCCTCCTTTGAACTGTAATAATATCTGACAATTGGATGCAACGTCAACTGTTCTTTTAATCATTTGCCTGGAAACCTTTGGCTTGTTGCTGGTCTGCAGCTTTTCCCTGATTAGCACAAAAATAGTTTCATGGTAAGGCTGCTGCTTGTTCATAGGAGATACACTGCTGTTAAAAAAGCAAACAACCCAAATTCTGTAAGATCAAATGGTGTCTAGGCAATGTAAAAGATATCGCTGTCTGTATTGCAGCTCTAATCATGTGCATGCATTTGTTTTCTCTTTTGGAAAACAACTAAATACATGAAAGCTAGGAGTTTCTCTTAAGGAAAAAAATACCAGCTTGAAGACTAGAGAGTCAAAACAGAAAGCAGCCCCCAAAACAGTCGTAGTTGCTGCCTGTATGCAGAACCTTGTCTTGTTGTCTGTTTCAATGTTCCAGCGTGGTTTTTCTTGATTCAGTAACACTGTGTGGCTTCAAAGACTGATGTTAGCATTCATTCCATCACAAACTCTAAGGCCAGTTTATAGCAGTGTTAGGTAAGTGTGAAATCTATGGGGGCTGGAGATGCTTGCTATAGGAATTCTAACCTGGCTCTGCACCAGTAGATGAGAAGGAAGAAGGGGGAACTTTATACTAGTGAGACTTTTAAGGCGTTTTTTAATTACATGTTTAGCTGCTTATTACATAAATCTCAAGTGATTTTTGTTATTTTTGTTTTAAGAGTGGAGCTTTTTTGGTAAGGGCAACAACTTGAGCAGATCTTTTTTTAAGCTTCTCGTTATGCAGTGCCATTCTGACTGAACTTGCCCTTCATGAAGGAATGCACATCGATCTGACAGGAGTTATTCTGGGCCCAGAATGCAGAGGCTAAGAAGCTTATGTAGCCTTTTAGGCAGCAGCATCTATCAAAATTTTGCTAACCTGACTAAACTTCAGCACTGCAGCTTGTATGGCTTAGTGTATGCTCCTTGACTTCCTGATTTAGGACAGGGAGGGAGAGCTTTGCAAAAAGCACTTTTTAAAAGGTATCTTCTTTTGGAAAAGCAATAGACTGCCTGATCAGCTGTAAGCTTCTGTGCTGTTTCATCTAACTGAATACGGAATAAAATGCTTTAAAAGACCATGCTGACAAGCTTCTAGAATTCAGAGGTACTGCAGTATCAGTCCAGATAGAATCATTCAGGTTGGAAAAGATGACTAAGATCATCTGGTCCAACCATCAAATAAAGATGAAACCTATTTAGAATGTATTTGGTTTCTGAAAATGAAGCACTCGAGAGTGCTTTCATCTTATAAACACTCTTACTAAGGAGACATTCCAGAGGCACAGCAGGAGAATTCAGAGACTAGCTGACAGCATTATTTCATGGCTGTACTTTAAGATATGGGTGATAGCAAATGGAATTAATACTGGAGTCTTCAGAGTTGGTTTTTCCTTTATATGAATTTCAGATTTCAGTAAATATTTGAATCTTACATGTAAATGCTTTCATTCAGTGACTGCTCCATTTATTGAGTTTCTGCATTTTTCTTCCAGTAGGAAGAGGTGCAAGCTACCTGCGTTCTGTGACTGTTCTGTAATTCTCTTTTCATTTCTTTTTGAAGTCCAAAGGATATTTTACTCAAATTTTCTGATGTGCTGGGGACTGTTGGTGATAACTTTCATATTTTTAGCACAAAATGATATAAAGATCAGAGTTAAGTGTATCTTATGCATTTATTCACTGCTGAGTGAATAAAAGCTCAAATAATAATTTAAATTAATTACTTACCTTTCAACTGAAACTATAAAAATATTCAGTGATTTACATCTACCTTATACTTGCACATGAGACAATACTTCTGAGATTATAAAACTCAGCAGCCTGGTAAGTTTTCATTTATTGTTAACTGAATGCCAAGGTTAATGGTGCAAAAACTGCCATCACTTGACTAATAACTGATGCTCAAAGGTTTTCTGTTTTATATGGTAATACATGAGAAATCAAATGTCAGTCTTCATTACTAGATACAATTATGTCTTGTTACTGTATTTAAGTGTGGTATTAAGTGTAGTACTTAAATGGTACTTGGGTGGAACTCTCTCCCTGGGGAGGAAGAAAAGCTGATATAGAAACAATATAGGCTTAATTGCTTTTCATTTCCCTACTTTCCAGGTGACAAGGCTCTGGATGGTTACAGTAAGAAAAAATATGTCTGCAAGCTGCTTTTCATCTTTCTCCTGGGGCACGACATTGACTTTGGTCATATGGAGGCTGTAAACCTGCTCAGTTCCAATAGATACACAGAAAAACAAATTGTGAGTACTTAAAAGAGAAGGCATTCTGTCTAATGTTCTGCCTTAGCTATTTAATCTGTAAGTACTTTCCCCCTCCCTCAAATGAAAGCCTTGTTTGGGATTTAGCAGTGATTCTAAAATGAAAATACCTTTTTGCACCAAAGATCTTTTATCTTGTACTAGTAAGTGACTCAGATCTTGTATCTTGTACTAGCAAGTAGTGTTTAAGAATATTCCACAAATTATAACAGCTGAAATGTGTGCTCTGTGCAACAGTGCTGTTTTTGTTTGGTCACTGCCTTGAGTCTTGCATTTAGATAGAGACAGAGACTTCTGAGAAATGTTAGCTCCTGCTAACAGACTATAATGCAAGCACGAGTTTCACTTTAAGTGAGTGCTGTGTGGAGGTTAACCATTCATACTTGAAACAGAATAGGCAAGTAACTTAATTTTGGTAATCTCTTCAAACCTTCTTAGATAATGTCTTATTTATCAAGTACCTGTTAAGTACGAGTGCCTAAACAATATTTTGCTTCTCATTCACATATTATCCCACTCACTCAGAGTGATCTTTTGGTTACAGGCTGAAACAGATTGATCTGCAGACCTTGAGCTTTCTGATAAATAAGGGGACATCAGACTACTTCATCTGCACTTCATCTTTCTGGCTTTCACTCTAGTGTCTAATTATGTTTCTGCCCACACATTTGATATTGAAGACACAGTGTGTCCTGAAGTATTGCTTGTGGCATTAGCAGAAAACATAGCACGCCAGCTAAAATAAATCCTCCTTATCCTTTTTCTGAAATCAGGGCTATCTCTTCATCTCCGTCCTGGTGAACTCCAACAGTGAGCTGATCCGCCTCATAAACAACGCGATCAAGAACGATCTGGCCAGCCGCAACCCCACCTTCATGGGTCTGGCCCTGCACTGCATTGCCAACGTGGGCAGCCGCGAGATGGCGGAAGCGTTTGCTGGAGAAATTCCAAAAATCCTCGTAGCTGGGTAGGTGTGACGTGCCTTCCTGCACTGACTCGGTTCGACAGGAGCAGCTGAATCCATGCTTTGAGCTGCACAGCCCTGTGCTTGCCGTATAAATGGTCTCCCGTAGCTGCAAACATTCTGGTAAAGCCAAAGGTGGAGTTGCTTGTAGAAAAGTACTGATATTACATGAGAAATGAAGGCTGTCAACATCTTGAATAGATTTTTATAGCTTTGTGTACTGATCAAGTTTTTGTTCTTTATAAACGCGTGCTAATGAGCACCGAAATGCCTGTTTTACTTCCCTCGCCTCTTTTGATGAAAAGAAGAGAAATAAATGAAAATAAGTAGGGGCTTAAACTACAAATTTGCTTATAAGAGCTTTTTTTAATAGTCCTGACTTCATGAGGAGTGTGCTAATATTCTGTAGAGCGAGTGTTCTTGCCTCATCTGATGGCCTTGTGAATAGCTGTTCCTGTAACCAACAAGTAGTCATAGCCACTCTGAATTTCATTTCTTATTGCTAAGAAATCTCTCACCAGACCTGGTAAATTTCTAAACTGTAGTCTAAATTTATTAGAAAGCTTGAGATTGCTCCACTTCTTCTTTTTCATTTCTCTTGGAAACTTAAAATAATGTGCAAAGTCTAAGCTGATGACAAAAAGGATGCAGTATGTCTAGTTGTGGCAAAATTCATGTGAGACACTTTTGAACTCTTGAGATTGTTTTTATAATACCATATTTGAACAATATTAATGTTCTGCAGAGCTAAAATTTATATGGGCCAGAAAGAGAAGAATAAGCAGCCAGCACCTGCTGCTTACTATAGGCCTAGTCTCATTCATGATATGGGAAGAATTCTATTGTGGAATTCCACCTTTCTTGGACTTGAAATTACTTCTTATGCATGCCTAGAGAAAGTGCATTCATTGGTCATCAGCAGAGAAGAGCACTTTCAGTTGAGACTTGTTTGAACACTGAGCTTTTTATGCCCTAAGTTTTCAAAGCTTGAAGGAAGTATGGGATGGTGTCATTGAAAATTGGTAACTTCTTAGATAATGAGGAGACTGAACTTCTGTTGGGGCTGTGGACATTTCTGAACATTTAACCAAGATTTCTCATTATAAACTGCCTCTTAAAACTTTCATTGCTTATGCTTCATGCTTATTTTTTAGCTGTTGTGACACATGCAACATTATTAAAAACAAAAAAAACCACCAATGCACTATTCTCTATTCCATGAGAGGAAGCTCACTGAACTAGAATAGTACAGTGCACCTAAAATAGTCAGTTCTCCTGCCAGCAATGTGGATGCCAAGGTGAATAGACTTGTGGGTTGCCTGTTTGGTGACAGCCAGTCAATTTGCATGCTGCCTGTTGGTAATGAAGCTGTTGAGTGTTGAGCAGGTAATGATTCATCTCTGATATGCAGTACCTGTCAGGAGATCCAGCTTAGTTCACATGTGTTGTGTAATGGACCTGAACTGTTTGAGTCTGTTTGGAAGAAGCTTCTATTCTTAACATTTAGTGAGATCTTGACTCAATGAGGAGTTCTGATGACGGACCTTCAGCTCTGATGAAAAGTTGTGAGATGCCTCCTTAAGTAGAAGAATCATTATAGGAGCTACTAGACGTGTGTAATGGATGAGCACTTGACCAGTTAAACTTATTGGATGAATTTCAGAACAAATACTGTTACTCAGGAATAACTTATTTAGCAAACTTCTGTTGAAAATATGCTCTCTCTCAGAGGCTGCTGAGCCTGTATAAAGTTTAGCGTACTGCTAGCCCGTGGGTATTGCCGTGACTTTACTGTGGGTTTAAAATATTGTGGTTCTATCTTGCAGAGATACTATGGATAGTGTGAAGCAGAGTGCTGCCTTATGCCTGCTGCGTTTGTATAGAACTTCCCCTGACCTTGTCCCCATGGGAGACTGGACGTCCAGAGTGGTACATCTCCTCAATGACCAGCACCTGGTAAATCAGCTCAGTTCTTCTTTGGTCTACTCTGTGTATGAATTTATTTCTCTAGAGTTTTTCCACCAGGTGGGTTGCTGTTTTAAGACAAGGGTAAAGAGACGGAAGAAGTTCTTTCACAAATTGCTGTATATTTTAATTTTTATTCAAACTGTACTTGCCTTAAATATTTTTGGCGTGTAAAAGGAATGGCATGCATAAGTTCTTTGTTTGCTCTGACTGTAAATTGTGAGCCTTATGATCCTGAGTCTGATGTGTAGATGTAATGCTGATTTTCTTAGGACTAAACACTAAAAATGCAAGGCCTGATGTAGCAGTGCCTGGACTTCACTGTCCTGTGCTATCCATGTTGTCATTCTTATCCTGCTGGTTCAAAAGGAAAAACCTGTTATTTTAGAGAACAGACTATTCTTTTGTCTGATTACTTTAGGAAGAAAGTCAATTTAGACCTTTGTTTTGATTGTAATGGGAACACTTAGTCTTCAGCAAGATAAAATGTTTGTATTATACAAAGGCCACTCTTCACATTCAGTTGCCAGAATGCTTTTCTGGATCATCTGTTGCATCCTGGTTTTTTTTTACTCATGCTGCTCTTGTTTAAGAAGATAGTTTGCATCCAGGCTTTATTTTAGTGCAGCTCTCTGAATGTGTTTTATATGTACTATCCAAATGTGAGGCAAAGCTCATACAAAAACAACATGAAATGCTCTGCAGGCATGATAGTATCACATTGAAAATCCTACTCAGTTTTAAAGGCGTGCAATTTGTCTGCATGTCTGTAAAATAAATGGCTTTTTAATATGAGTCTTTGTCATGGGGATTAACTCAGTTTTCTTTTATATTAAAAACTACTGCCAGTGAAAGGTGGTGTTAACAAGCAGCATCCTAAATTGTTATTAAGGTGAATATGCGGTTTTGTTTTTCTTTCTAGGGTGTGGTTACTGCAGCTACAAGTCTGATCACAACTTTGGCACAGAAGAACCCAGAAGAGTTCAAAACTTCAGTCTCTTTGGCAGTGTCGAGATTAAGCAGAGTGAGTCCAATGATAACTCTGATAATGATTGACGGTAGCCTAATTCATTCTGCTTTCTAGGTCAGATTATCTTAATGTTGCTTATTGATTCATCTTTCTAGGTCAGATTTATGTAGTATACCATTAAAACCGAGGATTATTCAATTCTGGTTTGTACAGGTAGTTCACACAACATTTTAACATTTCTTGCTTAGCTGGACAGAAAGCTTTACTTCCCAAACTTTTTTTTTTTTTGTATAATCCTTGCTATACTGCAGATGTATGTAGCAAAACATTCTCTCTCAGCTGCGTGTATTCTCAGGGATCCCCAGGATGTAGGTGAGTTTTTTAAATCATCTTTTTATGTTGCTGTAGCACCAGGGAGTACTTGGTGAAAAGATTCTACAAATTTCTGCACAGAACTCTCAAAAATTATAGCCTATGCTTCTAACTACATTTAAGCTTCTTACAGGATGGGTTATCTTTTTCCTGCTTGTGTGCTGCCACTAGGCTAATATTCATTAGTACTAGATATTCTGTAAATGGGATGTAGGGGATTAAGCAGGGGCAAGGAATTCAGGGAGAGGAGCAGAGACATTTCTGTATGGATGCAAAGTTTCCAGGTTAGCATCTTCATGCTGGGAACTGTATGTTACTGTTTTGTTTTGCTGCAGTCTCTTAGGAAGCTTGCAAGGCACGTGAGGATATTACTTTACAGCTATGCGTTGAGCTTCAATTTCTGTGTGGTCTTAGATGCAAAATAAATTACTTGCTGTTCAGAGAGACTTAATTTCTTCTCAATTCTGAAGAATGTGTCTAATACTTAAAAGCAAAGGAAGTGCGTAGCTGTTCTGTAATGGAGCAGCAAGAGTTAGAATTTCCTCGTACAAGGCTAATGCGAGACTTGTGTTAACCCTAGAATCAAAGGGGAAAAAGAAATCCACAAAGAAAGGTACTCCCTCTGAAATCTAATCTAATTCTTGTCACACTCTCTATCCATAAAAACCCTTTCAGTGAAAGCCATCCGTTCTTTGCTATGCAGTATGAATAGTAATGAAGGTGATAGTTCAGTTTGCAGTACCACCTTCTATTTGATTTCTGAGTTCACCTACCAGTGATCAGTCAATTACAGCACTGGAACCAGCCAGTAGGAAGCCTAAATATATGAAATGCTGACCCAAGGAAAGTCAAGCTTCTAGCTAAACATCTTGGCCCTATGAGATGATCATCTTCATTCTTAAGCAAGTATGATTTCAGGAAGGAACTCAATGGAATACCTTATTAGCAAAGCTGAATTTCTTGTATTAGAAATCCTGATGTTGTACTCGGTAGTATGACAGTTTGCACAGAGTTAAGCTACTTAATCATTTTTGGTGACATAATTTTGTAGGCTTCTGTCAAAAGTGACCTATGGTGTTCTTTAGCTGCTTATCACGATTGCAAATCACTTAACGTAAGTAGCTGAAGTGATGTCTGCTTATTTTACAGATTGTAACTTCGGCATCAACAGATCTTCAGGACTATACGTACTATTTTGTCCCTGCTCCTTGGTTATCTGTGAAACTTCTGAGGCTCTTACAGTGCTACCCACCTCCAGGTAATGCACAAATCGCAACGGTGGCCATAGCTGATGCTGTTTGCTACATTCAAAGAGCTACTGCTCTGTACTGCGCCCATTAAGTTGGAGTGCTAGCACTGTGCCTTAAGACAAGGTTGCTGAAGCCTATACTTGAGTTTTTCAGATTGCTCTAAGCTACGTGTTCTATTGAACTATGTTTAGTTGTGAAGTGTCAGATGTCAGACCAGTATGCAGCACACAGTAGCCATTTGAAACATACTTTAATGCTATCAAGGATATTAAAGCCTTGAAATATATGACAGTGCCAATGATGTTTGGCTTTTACTCTTGCTCAATAGATATTTCTTGGAATTTTTGATGTCTGTACACTGTGGTTGAAGGGGGAATGGGTGAACTGTTTAATAAACGGAATACTTCAGTTTAATCCCTGTATTTAGCAAGGTGGAAGGCCTTAGGTAGAGGTTAGGGTGTTGAGCAAAATGAAGTTGTCCAACGGCTTGTTCTTCTCTAGAAGACCCTGCGGTACGTGGTCGTCTCACAGAATGCCTAGAAACTATTCTTAACAAAGCACAGGAGCCACCAAAGTCAAAGAAAGTACAACACTCAAATGCGAAGAATGCTGTGCTATTTGAGGCGATCAGTTTAATTATTCATCATGACAGGTGAGCTGTGAAAACAGTTTTGTTGCAGTGTGACTTTTCTAAAAGAAAAATCATGGCTTTTGAACACTGAGCAAATTTTTACCAGATGGGGAAAAGCAGAATAAGAAGCTGCTTGCTAGGTTGGAGCGCAAGCACTGCAATTGGTTTGGAAGTTAATGCACTGTGTCACTGACAGAACAGTTTATTGTGACTTTTCTTGCTTTTTTAGGGGCGAGTGTTTTGTGTTGAGATCACTGCTTTAATCCATTAGATATGATTTGTTCTCAGTGTCTGAATTTTCATTTCACCAGCAGGACATTCTAGCAGACACCTTCCGAGGCACTTAAATAAATTTGCACTGCAGAAATAGTATTCTGTATTTGATGTTCTCAAATCTGTTGCTTTTAACCCTTTCACTTTCTCTCCTGTTCTGTGCAGTGAGCCAAATCTACTAGTCCGTGCCTGTAACCAGCTAGGTCAGTTCTTGCAGCACCGAGAAACTAATTTGCGTTACCTAGCACTGGAAAGCATGTGCACGCTTGCCAGCTCTGAATTCTCACATGAGGCTGTGAAAACACACATAGAAACTGTTATCAATGCACTAAAGGTAAATATTAAGTGTACGGTCGGTTTTCAGTCTCTTTTCCCACCCCTTGTGTCCCCTTCTTCACTGCTTTTTCCCCCTCTCATCCCCAGAGCCCCTTATCCCTGGTTAGGCTAGTAATACTTGGGAATAAAAAGAGTTATTTTCCTTGGTCATGCTGTGCTGGCAATAACAGAGGTCAGCTTTAGCTTATTTCTTCAGCTTACTAGTGAATCTGATACTTGTAGCTGTGGCCCCTGTAACAGTATCCTCCTCAATCTGTAGAGTGAAGCTGAAACTTGAAATTCGAAATTGAGAATGCTGAGGAAGACTTTGTCCTGTTCCTGTCTTGCTTGTATCACATACTTTACCTTCACTGTAGCAGCTGATGGAGAGCAGTGAAGTAGATTGGTTTCCAGTGGAGCATGGGCCGTTTTTTTCCAAAGGCCAAGAAACCAGAAAGATGAATTTTCAGGTCATGTTTCTGTGAGAAAGCAGATGTGAAGAGGAAGCCTAATTTGCACGTACCTTTACGTTCACAGTTCAGTGTTTACGTGTAATGTTTTCTTCCAAGCTCATGCTGTAGCATATTCATACATTTGTCTAACCTTAAAGTACAGGTCTGTTTTAGCTGAGCTTCTGCTGATTTGAGGGAGGCTTGACATTAAAATTGCAAGATGTTAACTGCCCATTGGCCTGGTGACAATTTGACAATTTCAGCCAGTTATTAGCTCATCTGTGGCCATTGGTACTAATTACCCAGTGCAGAAAAGACTGCAAACTCATTCACAGAAGAAGTCTAATGTGCATATAGAAAACTTTGAATCTGACCATGAGTTATAATGTCTCATCTCTTCATTAAGTTGCATCTTTTCCCAACAAAGGTGAAATCATTTTGACCTTTTGCTGTGTGTCCTTTTGCAGACTGAAAGAGATGTGAGCGTACGGCAAAGAGCTGTGGATCTCCTGTATGCAATGTGTGACCGAAGCAACGCCCAGCAGATTGTGGCTGAAATGCTGAATTACTTGGAGACTGCTGACTATTCCATTAGAGAAGAAATTGTGAGATATTTTTAGTTCCTCAGTTTTTCGTGTCTGCCTTTGGCATCGTTTATTGATTGGGATGCTATTTGTGGTAGAAATTCTTTGACTGTGGTTTTAGAAACCAGCTGGAGGGCTGTTAGTCTAATAGCAAAGAATGTTCTTCATTTCTTAGTTAAACTAATGGAGGAGGGGAGAGAAAAGCACTTGAAAATAAGGAATTTTAAAACGTAATCTTGGTTTCAGGGCATTGCATGTAGAAGGTGAAGTGCTGATGTTTGAGCAGATACAGTCCCTAGATATGAGAGCTATGTCCTTCTCAAGTCAACTGATGAGTAGCTTAAAAAACTAGTGTGATGTCTGCTTACTTGTGGGTAGAACTTCATACTGTGTATGTTGTAAGGACACTTTCAGTCTACAGATTCCCCAAAACGATGGCTTGTGATCAGCTAAAAAGGTGGTGTGATGTCTGTTTCCTTCCTCCTGGTGGAGGAGGAGTTATAACCAGTTTATGAAATGTTTATCATTTATGATATATGAAGCAGTTTATCATTTATGAAATGATAGCCAAAATCTATGCTTGTGGTAATTACTTTGTAATTACTTTGTGGTAATTACTTTGTTGTTGATAGGCACTAAATTTTCTTGAAATGATCCTTTTTTAACTTTTTTTCAATAACTTTTGAGTTTTTTGTCAGTGCTGTCTCTATGATGGCTTAATTGGTGATTTATAGCAAAGTATTCAAAACATACAGCCACAGGTGCAACACATTCAAATGCATGGCTAGGAAAGTACTTACCTGGCAGCCATGTGTTCTAGCACAAAATCTGTGTTCATCTTTTGCCTTTGACATGGGAGCACGTGGGCTGAAACTGAGGCTTCTGTGCTACTGTGTGATATCACTGCAAGTATATAAAGTAAATCCTGGTATAGAGGTTATAGCAGAAGCTGGTCAACCTTCTGATTGTTTTGTGTGTTCAGGTTCTGAAAGTTGCAATTCTAGCAGAGAAGTACGCAGTGGATTACACCTGGTATGTGGACACAATCTTGAATCTGATTCGTATTGCCGGTGACTACGTCAGTGAAGAAGTGTGGTACCGAGTTATTCAGATCGTTATCAACAGGGATGATGTACAAGGGTATGCAGCAAAGACTGTTTTTGAGGTGAGAATAATTGGATGGATTAATAAGGGAATTATTAATTTTCTGGACATTTTCTGAAATGTAGTAAAAATAGAAGCCTTTTACACTGTTTTTTTTCCCCCTGAGTTTTCTGGATGCTGGAATCCAGAGTAGTGGTAACTTGGTGATCCTTGTGGAAGTATGCAACCATTACCTGCTAATATACAGAAGTAGTCTAGGAAACTAAACAAGGGCAAGACAGGGAAAAAATGGAAAAAAAATGGGAAAAGGGAAAAAAATTATGTATTTTTAATACAGCACAGATTGGTGACTAATACTGTGTTCCTACAGGCCCTTCAAGCTCCAGCGTGCCATGAGAATCTTGTTAAAGTAGGTGGCTACATCTTGGGAGAGTTTGGTAATCTGATAGCAGGTGATCCAAGATCAAGGTAAAACACCTTTTAAGTTCATTGAAGTACTTAAAAAAAATAAAATCATCTATTTAATATTCCTAAAAGTCAGTTAACAAATGATTCAGCTTCTGATAGCAATGCCATTGTGGTTATCACGTCAACAGAATCTGAACTAATTATTTTTCTTCCCCTTTCAAGTCCCCTCATCCAGTTCAACTTGCTGCATTCCAAGTTTCATCTGTGTAGTGTTCCTACCCGAGCTCTGCTGCTGTCCACCTACATCAAGTTTGTGAACCTGTTTCCAGAAATCAAAACTACTATTCAAGATGTATTGCGCAGTGACAGTCAGCTAAAGAATGCTGATGTTGAGCTGCAGCAGAGAGCTGTTGAGTATTTGAGGCTCAGTACTATTGCCAGTACTGACATATTGGTAGGTACAGAACCCTTTTTATTACGCAGAACTCTTAACCATTTCTTCTCCCAATAAGTAAACGTGACTAAACCTTAGCTGACTGCTCAGAAATCTTAATGTGGAATTACAGATCTGTAAAATGGATGCTGGTTCTTCTTAGTGTACATAATTCAGCTGTGGCCTTCTTTAAAACTAATATCAAAGGTGTTACTTCTTTGGGAAGGAAAATGACTGCTTGTATCTTAATGAAAATATTCTAGGTTTTCAGAGGTTTGATAAGCAGTTCAAAGATATATTTATTGGATCGAGGCCTCAAACTCTTAAACGGATTTCTTCCACTTCCATTCCTCCACACAATGATCTGGTTGTCTTCATGTCCTTTAACTTTGCAATTATTGAGAAATTAATGTCATCTCTGAGTGTGAGTGAAGGAAAGCAGCATATCTTAAAGAACACTTGACAAAGGCAATGCATAAACTGAAACCAAATAGAAAAGGAGGTCCTCACTTAATCCTTACAGATTTTTTTGATGCTGGTGGTAAACAGTTTCAGACTACTTGAGAAGATCTGTGAAATCTACTTGTTTGCTGGTGGGCACAAAACTTTTGTCTCTAGAAATTCCAGGTAACCTGATGCACTCAGGCCAGAGCATGGTGCTCTCAGCCTGGACAGCTAATAGGCGTCTCGGTCTAACTAAATCCTTGGGTAATCTGTGGGTTCAGATCTTGGTGTCGGTCTGCTGTAGTCTCCTCCCTCCCTCTTCATTTATTTATTTTAAAACGTACTTTGTCAAACAGGTAATACACTCCTTTTCTTCTACGCAACAGCTTTAGGAGGAATTTCAAATAACTTTTTTTTAAAGGAAGTCTTAAAAAAGACTCTTGCCAGCCTTTCATACATAGTCATTTTCTGTGTAGGCCTGAATGTCTCTTCAAAGACTGGGAAGTTGATTTGACTTATTCTGTAAATATAATTAGTATACTTTTTCTTTTTTTTTTTTTTTTCCCCTGTGATAAGGCTACAGTGCTAGAGGAAATGCCTCCCTTTCCAGAGAGGGAATCTTCTATTTTGGCTAAACTCAAGAAGAAGAAAGGTCCAGGCACAGTTACTGATCTGGAAGAGATCAAAAAGGAGAGGAGCTCTGATATGAATGGAAGTGCTGAACCTGCGTCTGTCAATGCCAGTGCTGTTGTGAGTTTAAAATCTGTTCTTACTTCACTAACTCAGAGGGTGTGCAGGTGAGGAAAGGCTGGTTTCCTTGGCTTTTTAGGGGCTTAAAGCTTCTTGTCTCAAATTTCAGGCTATGAATGTTTGCTATACACTTATCCCTCCTTTGTTGGTATTTTGGTAAATACTGCTGTAGTCTTAGAAATAAAAATTTCCTTGGTGATGAAGCTGACAAAGGTGATGAAGGTGTTTGAAATTGAACTTACTCCTTTTGAAGTGTCAGCTGTTCTTCTACGTTGTCTAACATGCCTACTTCTGCATCTTGCTTTGGATTACTGTTGTTTTTACTAGTAGTGGACCATACTTGCCTGGGATGTCCTTAAATCAGTAATTGCTGTTTATTTGATGGTGCTGTTTCTGTTCAGTTGCGGTACATGAGTCTCCTTTTTTTATCTGTGTTGAACCACCTCATTGTAATGTCATTTAAGGTTGGTCAAATGAATGATTCCCATGACATAATGCTTGTTGCTGTTCTAGTTTACAGGTTATGCTTGTAAATACAGTGAAATGCAGTAGCATTTTAGCATGCTCCCTGCCTTACAACTTACTCCTTTAACTCTTATACGTTCCAGATGAGTTATGTTTCAATGAACAGATACATTTTTCAGGCAGAAGAGATGCCAAACATTCTTTATCTGCCAAATTGGCTGATGTATCTGGTATTTAAAATTGTATTCTGCCTTATGAGCTTCACTTTGAATTGCAGCAGTGTAAGAAATTCTGCTAAGTTACCTTCATCACCAGTTTGGATGCCTGAAGATGAACTCAGGGTTCATCTCATTGTTTTGAGTAGATATTACTGATTGATTTCTGAAAAAAATTAGCCAGGGATTTTTCTTTTATCCTCCATCAAAGTCAGTCTTTGGAATATATGAAAATTTTGAGTTGGCTTGCATTTGAATTAGGTCTGTAGTTTTGTTGTCTCATGACTTGCATTCTCAGCTTACCTGGCATAATGTAGGGTGCTAATGTCTAATGCATGAACACTTTATTTAACAATCAGTGTCTGCTTTGCTCTTGCACATGATTTGTGCACGTATGAAGCCTTTATTTTATTAACGGTGCATGATTCTGTCTCCTGGTCACTGGATTTGATCTATTTGAGCAAATTTGTGTATTTTAAGATCTGATCTCTACGTATCTTGTCTTCCCTAGTCTACTCCTTCTCCATCTGCAGATCTGCTGGGTCTGGGTGCAGCCCCTCTCACCAATTCAGCTCCCCCACCTTCCTCTAGTGGTAGCCTGCTGGTGGATGTATTTTCAGATTCAGCTTCTGCTGTTGCACCTCTTGCTCCTGGTTCAGATGACAACTTTGCAAGGTAATTAAGTCATCCTCTAAGGCATCTGGTAAAGCATTTGTCTACTAAAGCAGGATTAGACAAAAGAATACAAACGATAAATAACTTCTGGTTTTGTTCCAGTTTATTGGATGCATTCCTGGTAGTAGTTGTGCATCAAGAGAGGTATTCTTGAACTTTGTGCTGGATATGCTATCTTTATCGAATACCTCTGCTCATGGGAAACTGAGTCTGTAGCAATCAGTCTGAGAACGTTAGCCACACAGTCTTGTGTTTAGCTTTCATGCTGATTTTGCTTCTTTGTTAAACTAAGCTTCCTGTGTACCTTAATGATATATCTTGAATTTGGGCGATATCTGGCCTGATGTGTATCAGTTTAGGTTTGCCATGTTTCCATAATGTATCCTTGCATCTACATATGGCAAACTGATACTGAAACCATGAGTTGGTTTGTATCTGGAGATACTGGTTCTCAGAATTTCAAGATATACTTAAATTCTTGTGCCACTGTCTGACAAACAGATGTAAAAAAAAGAAAAACAAGCTCTTGTTTGTTGAGGGGATTTGATACAAGTGTCTTCCTAACTACACTGCCAACTGTAGTTGTAGTCTGTGTCAGGCAGAATGTATTATTAAGTCCTTTAATATTAGTAGGCACTGTGCCTATGCTCAAATGTTATTTGGCTAAAACACTGCAAGTAAATAATGTGAGATCACCGTATACCTTAAAAATCTATCGTTCTGTGCCCGGAGAACAGGTTACTATTTTGAACAACAGGACCAAATTTTGAACAACGTGATGCAAATTTGCAATGTATCTTAATATGAAATCTATAATTATTGAAACTAATCTGCCTGGAGCATTGAAAATTTCATCAGAATTTTATACTAGACAATATACTGTTGCAGGTTTTCAGTGAATAAGACTTGATCCTGTATTTCCCTTGGAAGGCAATAAGTGATGTTTAGTAATGCTACACAGTATCTGAAGAAGCAACACAAGCTTGTTAGAGCTTTTTCTAAAATGTTGTTTTGTTTTTTTTTTTTACATGAGTAGTAGCTTCATAAACAGAAATTTCCTGAAAAGTTCTTTTTTTCTGCTGGAGAAAACATAGCATTGCCCAGCCCCTTGACCTGTCTGTCTGTAGGTGATGAAACACTTCTCTCGTGCTATTGAGAAGTTGCCTTTTGTAGTTTCTTGCCACTTTTTAATGCTGTTGTCACTTTTGCTTCTAATCTGTTACTTGAATAAGCCATTCTCTGTGTGCCCATATATTCTTGCCTACATTTTAAATACTTGTGAGCATTGTAACTGATGTAATTGATGATGCAGCTGTAGTTAGATATACCACTAATGTTGATGAAGTCTCTGCTTCAAAGCACACACTCACAGTAGCCAATATGCATCTACATTTGCAGTTTTGAACTAAATCTTTTTTACAGTCACAATTAACCACATAAAAGGATTTTGTTAAGAGGTGTAAACTTGAGCTCCTGAGCACCTTCAGCCATCTCCTGTCTTCAGGAGGAATTGCTGGTTCCTACCAGTCAGGGAGGGGTGGGCTGGGGGAGAGAAGAGGGAGGGGGGAATCATTTAATGCCTAAAACCTTTCTAGGTGTAATGAGCTAGGGCAGCTAATTAATTTTTCATGCATTAAACTCAGCAGTGCCATTTTTGAGGAAGGAGGTAAAAGAAGTAACTAAGCACTAAGCTGTCTTTACTAACTCCTGCTGTCTCTGTCGCTACCACCTTTCTTCCTTTGTGCTGCCTGAACTAGCCCTGACCTGGCTTCATCTGAGGTAGTTTCTGAGGAACCAGCTGATACTGTGCATGATGCTGATGAGCTTTTTCACAAGTAAGCAATACTAAAACCTTGCAAGGCTGGGCAACTTCAAGAATATAGTTACAAAGCAAAACTATAGTGTACATTGACTTAATACCAGCAAAAGTAGACGAGCATACTGTCAAAGATGTGACTAGAAAACATCTGTAGATGCTGTGTATATTACATCGTGCTTGTGAGTAAATATACAGCTTAGAGCTGGCTTTTATGAGTCAGTACTATCACCTGCTGCTCTAAAATAAGGCAATGTCAGTTGTGTATTGAGCTTTGCAACTATTCACAAAGAAAAAAAGGAAAAAAAGGGTAAACTGCTAAAAGTACTCATATTTGGAAGTATGTTTTAAGTGCCTTGTATGACAAAGGCTAATGTTTGCTGACCACCTCTTCTACTTTAAGTGAAGGGTGACAGACAGAAGGACTGAAAACACTACAGAATGTGCTTCTCTGAAAATGACTGAAAAAAAAATAAATACAACTCCCAAGTCTACATATACATGATACAGAACTGATAAAAACAAGGAAACTCTTTTTTTCTTTCAGGTTGAAACAGTCAAAGCTACCAACTTTTGAATTCTGCACCAGCCTAATGAATTTCAGAAGTTGTCAAGGATATGAATAAGAAAAATCCTAGCCTGTTGCCTGGTCCTTTAGTGTGTGTGTGTGTGTGTGTGTGTGTGTGTTTGTGTGTGTGTATAGCATATTGTGGCTTTCTTTGTAGTTTCTCAGGCATCTTACCGAGTAGAAATTTCAGTTATTTTAGTGTTCTTCAAGTGATGATTTTGGTTGCAAAACACACTTGTCTTTTTTAACTGCAGTTTTCTGCAAAGACCTCTCTTGCAGACTGATGCTCTCTAGGTTAACAACAATCTTCATCCTCTGTTTAAACCCTGAATTTTGTGGCTCTAAAATTGTTTAATGTGTCTTAATTTAAAACGTATTTACTCTCTCTTCCTTTAGGTTTGTGTGTAAAAATAATGGAGTCCTCTTTGAAAATCAGTTGCTACAAATTGGATTGAAGTCCGAATTTCGACAGAACCTGGGTAAGTTTTCCGGCAGAGCAGCTGTGTGAATTAATCAAGCCCAAAGCCAGCACAATGTTGGGGTTAGGACTTGCTGATAGAGAAGGAATGTCATTTCAGGCCTAACCTGTCCAGAAATCCTTGCTGTTTGTGTGTCCCTAACGTCTGTGTGGGTCACTGTTTTCTTAAACTTCTCAGTTGTTTTGGTAGCTGAGACGACGTGGGAGCCTAAGAGTACTGAGTTCCAGTTCTTGCTGCCTGTGTGCAAGGCTGATACAGACAGAGTTAAAAGGGACTGTTCTCCTGATTATTATTATTATTATTTTTAATTCTACTTATTATTTGTTTCATGGTAGAGCTTATTGTAGTAGTATTTTGCACGGTGTATTTCAGACATATGTCTATCATAATACATTAACGTACTGGATCCTGAAAGCATCCAGTAGAGACTTAGGAATGGAGCACTGGCTTGACTTCTTCCCATCTCTATCACTTCTAATACCATAACGACTTTTAAACATAGAAAACAGCATTATCCAGTAACTAGAAGACTTCCACTAATTATTTGATCATTTAAGTGCTTGTGTGATAGCTCCTGTTGTTTCATTCTGTGAATATCTTTACAGTATAAAACCATATAGAGTACGCTGCAATTTAAAAATGTGATTTAAAGAATGGTAGAAAGTCAATGGATGAGGTACTTGAAGCACGCACAGTCCAGTATGATTTTGTGTGATATACCTCAAGCTGCTAATGCCTCTGTTCTTTTGCTCCTAGGACGTATGTTCATTTTCTATGGTAACAAGACGTCAACACAGTTCTTGAATTTTACTCCAACAGTAATCTGCTCAGATGACCTTCAACCAAATATCCTTAAAGGCTGGTTGCCTATTCTTCAGGTTTTGTGTTTTATGCTGCATGTGAGGGTAATAAAGCTGCTGGATCAAGGCTTCTTGTCCTTGAACATGAAGGAATAGGAACTTGCTGATGCCTTTCTGAAGTTTTTACCAAAATCTTGTGCAGAGATGGAAGACTCTCTAAAACTCTGATTACAGAGATGTTGTTTCTGTGGAAATAAGGGGATATTATTCAGAGTGTATTATTCTTTGTAAGCATGTAATGTAACTCTAGCTTTCTCTGCTGTCATGAAGTTGCTGAGGTATAAATGTGGTGTCCTGCATTATCAGAGGACTTCTGATGAGCTGTAAGTAGAAGAGTACATGTGCTCAAAGATGACAGTACTTGAAACTAAGCTTTTAGTTTACAGTTTCTGCTTAATGCTTTGCATTGCTAATTGAAGGAGTGTATGTGACTAAATTTGTTTGACTCAGCATCACTGCGATATTCACATCAAAATAACGTAGTTTGGTGGCTTACATTGTAGGGAGTCTGCCTTCAAACCTTTTTGAGGCGTCTTTCTTAAGGAATTTTCCTGTAACTCTGGGAATCATGGGAGTTACTGCTTCTAGATGTGTCAATATGAAAAGAGTATTTTTAGCTTTACAAGAATTAGACTTTGAATTTTCGGAAGCATAGAGAGAGCCAGTGGACACAGTGTGAATTGTTCCTGTAGCTTGCCCGTAACTTTTTAATGAACAGCAAATATTGTCAGTTTGTTGCTCAGTTTCCTTAGCTACTTTCATGCCTGAATCTTCAGACAAAACCTGTTGACCCCACAGTGGATGGAGGTGCACAGGTTCAGCAGGTTGTGAACATTGAATGTGTATCAGACTTCATGGAAGCTCCCATTCTGAACATTCAATTCAGGTAAAACCGCAGTAGTTCAGTGCTATTGATTTAACAAAAGAAAGCATGTTTCAGTTGCCACAGCTCTCAAGCTGATGTGTAGAATATAGACGCACAAAGTCCAAAGCTATCTTGGGCAGATGATTTACCTGAACATTTGATACAACAAAACTTGAAGCTACCAGAGGAGGGAAGGAATGCATTTGGAACAGTCTGATTAAAAAAAAAAAAAAAAAACACCAACAAACCACTGATAAAATGTCTCAAATGCTTCTGTTTCTGCTATGCATATAAGCCAGCTGTCATCTTTTCTCATGAAATCTTGATGGGGAATATATGTTGAAACTTCTTCCTTCTGGAAACTAAGAACATTTGTGCAAAAAAAACTTGGATAAGAAATGCGTGTAGCCGAAACCAGAATCTTGTTATGTCAACTCAACATCAGCCTTTGGGAAAGATTTGTGTTTACAGTCCTGGTTTCTGGACTGTGTTCTGTTATTCAAGTCTTAACTGTTTTTTTACTGGTGTGTGTATCTGGAAGGGTAGCAAACTATGTTGAAACAGATTCTTAGTAGAAATTCTGCCGACTCACTTTCATGTGTCATCTAACAGAGCAAATAAATCCATACATCACTGGATGTTACATCCAGTTACGTCTGTAACTTACAAGTGGCATCATCTGCAGTTGATGGATGTTAATGATCAGACTGTCGCATCTTACAGTTTCTCCTCGACTGCCTGGTTAATTTAGGATGAGAAACTGCAGGCGCTTTGTATGACACACATCATGTTCTGTCTACTCTGTATGCAGGTACGGTGGAACATTCCAGAATCTTTCAGTAAAATTACCCATCACACTGAATAAATTTTTCCAGCCAACAGAAATGTCTTCTCAAGACTTTTTCCAGCGTTGGAAGCAACTGAGCAAGTAAGACCTTCTGTGTATTTATGCTTGGGGCTTTTGTGGTAGACCAAGGAAAGTAAAAGGGTATATTGTGAATGTGGCTCATACATGCGTAGTCTTGTGAGCTGTAGGCTCCTCCTGTAAAATGAGTTGCTGCTCAACAATTCTGAACATACTGCATGTTAAGAAATATTCATCTTGCCTTGTCTTGCAGTCCTAAACAAGAAGTACAGAACATCTTTAAAGCAAAGCACCCAATGGATGCAGAGATCACAAAAGCGAAGGTTGGTGGTGGTGTAGTATCTTGTAGCGGTATAAGGAAACATTGTTCATTTGAGCTTATATGGCAACTAGATTATCCTGTCCACTGTGTATCTGTGTATCCCTGTGTATCTGTGCCTTGGCAGGGCTGGGCTGAGTGAACTGCTTCTCGGTATGGAATGAATTAAGTGTAGTCTTCAGCAGCAGCTGGAAACCTGAAGCTATGTATGAAAGCATAAATTTAGTGCTTAAAATTGAATTGGAAAAAACTTCCGGCCTTAATTTACTAGGGTCACTAGATGGAGAATAAAACAGCATAGCACTCTGGTCTTTATAGAGCTATCTGTCTGTCTTAGGCAAAGCAGAAACGACTCTAGTGGCAGCAGAAATGGCTTTACCACAAAGAGGAGAGGTTTAACTCGAATTTTAGTAGTTTCTCAGTAATTTTCCTCACGGACTCTTTTCAGGTTCAGCTCGACAACAAGCATAACTCCATCACGTTAAAGATTTCTACTGTACTGACACTGACACTGAATAACTTCTTTAATCTTTTCACTCAAAACAAACCAGTCCCTTGCTTGCTTTACTAGTGAATGGTGGCTGTGATCGGGGTAAACTTTGGTATTTTTGTCTGTATTTTGGTATTTTTTTGTATTTTACTGTTCCCGCATGTAAATCTTCTGGATCTCTTTCATAGATAATTGGCTTTGGATCGGCCCTACTTGAGGAGGTGGATCCCAATCCTGCTAACTTTGTTGGTGCTGGTATCATACATACAAAGACTACTCAGATTGGATGCTTGCTGCGCCTTGAACCCAACCTCCAGGCACAGGTATCTTTTTGCATCTACTGCATAAATACAAATTCCTGTCTGTGCTAAATTGAAAAAGCAAGTCTATATCTGAAATTCCTTAAGGTATTTAAAGAAAATATCTTTTGTAATTGCTAATTGTGATTGAGAGCTTTAAGAAGAAATGAAATTGCAGCAGTTAGTCCTGACATAGCTTGGTAAGCTGCTGCTTCATAGGAATTCTCTTCCGTGTGCATATCACTGTATTATTCCAGACTGTCTGTGGATTATCTTCCCTGGAAGGCTGGAAATGCTCAGTTTATTCTTTTGTGCACCTTGGACAAGGCTAACTACAACTTCCTTTGTCATTTAAGAAGAATGAAAAAATGATGTGGCTAAAAAAAAAAACATCATATGTAAATGAACATAAAACTGTTTAGAGGAAAAACATCTGTAAAAGCATTTTGCTAGAGGTTTTATGCAATTTAAGTGAGGACTAAAAATAAATTTTGGGCATCCTGTTTTCCAAACAAATGATAGTAGAGTCTTTAGACTTCCCCACAACACACTCCTTTAAAAGGAAAAACCAAATCTGGGACATCAATTTGTCATTAAAGCTTAGAAACATTAGAACAATGGCAGCTTTCCCAACAAGGGTTTGAAAGAGCTGAATTGCTAGGTGGCTGCCTGCTTCTGAATGTTGTAACGTGAGGTCTTATCAAATCTATCAGAACAAGTAAATAGTAACTGGTTAACTTTCACTTGTTGGCAGTATATTAATTTAAAACCAAACTATGTTTAAAAATGTGTATATTTGTGTTCTTTTTCAGATGTATAGACTCACACTACGAACAAGTAAAGAAGCTGTATCTCAGAGATTATGTGAATTGCTGTCAGAACAGTTTTAATACTAACCATGACAGTTTTTTGTTTTTCCATTTATATCATTGTCATCATACTGCAAATAAATGTCTTGTACATCACTGTCTGAGTACTGCAATGTTAACCAATACCAGCTCCCTGCCTTAATAGGACTTGCCCCTTGTTTGAAATTGTGAGTGTGAAATGTACAGTACAGGGAAGTGACTTTTTACATTAAAATGGCTTTTAGTATGTTACACAAAGTGTGGGAGGGCTGTCTTTGTGTTTCTTTTATTGCAGAGGTCCCACTTTTAAACTTGTTAAAGGGAAATTGACTTTGATGTAGTAACCTTGGGTTTCAACTGGAAATGGCTAGTAACATTCTGCCTCAGTGCCTTTAACAGGTACTCCCTCTGCTCTGAGCTGAAGAAAAAATGTGTTGCTGCTCAGTAGAGTCGATTCAGACGTTAATATATCGTCAGTGTGAAGTTAGACATTGCTTCAGGTGTTGTACTGGATGGGAAGGGCAGATTCCAAGGTGTGTTTGAACCTGATTTACGTGAATGCTTATGTTGACTGTCACCAATTTTTGTTCTATTTGAGAAATGCCACAGGTCCAGAGTCATAGAACCTTAATCTTCTAATTCTTTACATTTTAGTTGTTTTTTTGATCTTTGGAAAGTGGATTGAGCACAAAAGCTATTCTTAATCCTTCCGCTTACCTCAAATAATGAGGTGAGCTTCTCTGGTAGGTAGTGAATGAGTACGTGTTTGTTTAGTCAAACTTAAATATTCTGTTTCTTTTCTTTTGCTACCCTTTAGATTTAGCGAGTAGCAGTCCTGATGACATAGCTGATTGCAGAGAGTGTGGGTTCTCATTAGTGTGGTATTGTATAAAAGGAGAAGAAGGAAAAAGTGGGCACTTGAAGGCTAAGGCATGCACTTTGTAGACAAATATTTAATTTTAAACTATTTTTCCCCTGATGTACAGTGCTAGAACTTGAGAGGCTGAATAACTGGTATCTGTACAGTTTCCAGTCTGTTATTGGTGGTAAAAATATCCAACACAGTGTGGGAGACTTGTGTTGAGATTGGGAGTAGAAAGGCTGAGCGTGTTCAGCTTATACAGGGGCTTTTGCAACCAAAACCATTATAGCTTGTTCCACATGAGCAAACTCTCTGCACAACAAAGTGGGCTTAAGTTTGGCTCACATTGTTCAAGTCTGGAAATGCACCGAAGGCTGTTAAAACAAAGCAGGTGAGGTAGGGGTTAGGAACTGTGGGCAGTTGTCAGTGAGCAGTACTACAGGTCAGGATGAACCAAGAGATCAGCTGCTGCTGATGTGAGGAGTGAACCTCAGATCAACATTCTCTTCCTTGAAGGAAGCTTAGCACTGTTGTCTCACAATTCATACAGCCAAATAAAGGCTTTGGGTAACAGGGATGGCAATGAAAATGAGAACACTGCTTTGCACACAGGAGGGGAAAAGATTCTACTTGGGTGACTTTGGCTTGCTTTCTATCAATGCTTAAGAGTTAAAAGATGGAACTAGGCGATGAGAGTTTGGTTTGGTTGAAGGCTTGTGATCGTACTTGAGTACCAGAGAACTGAGGAGCAAAGGTTGGAGTGCGATGTGTGTTTTTTTTCCAGAAGTGTTTGGTAAATATGGACTTCATTGGATGTAAAGTTGTCTATAGACCTTGTCTTTCTGGAAAAGTTCTCTTGAACAGTTGACCCTTTCATGGCCTCTCGAGCATCTAATCAGGGCTCTCTGATCACAGATATCTTTTGAAAAATCTTCATAAGCATTTCTTGCAGTCAAGTTGGTAGTTGGCAAAGTACTACCAAACTACCTTGTATTTTGTCCTTTGGAGGCTGTGTGATCTTTATTAATCCTGTTGTCTTAACCATGTTGTTGGCTACTGTGTTAAAAATCCGTTGTGCTGAACTAAGGGAGTCTTAGCAGAGACAGGGAGAAGCTTCACTCATTTTTTTCCCCAATTCCTATTGTACATCTGTTTCTCTGGATATGTTCTGTGCCCTTGTCAAAGGACATCTCAAGACACGCTGTACTATACTAGTTCACTTAGCTTTGGTTCCAGCTGTGCTAAAAATGTGCATTAAAAATATGGGTAGGAGGGGGGAAAGGGAAAGCGTCTTTTCAGTGGTGACTGTATTAAGCTTATGATTGTTCACGTTTTGTATTAGATGTCAGCTCAGTGAAGCCATGAGCAGAACAGTGAACAAATTAAGGGTAAATACTTGATTTTTTTATTTTGGTTTTTTTTTTTTTTCGTGAATGATGGTTAACTTACCAAAGTGATGTATCCTTTCAAGCAGACAAAGTAATTTCTGCAGTAAACAGTGTTATTGTTTTCAAGTACAGTATTTTCAGGCATTGATGTGTGAAAATAACTGAATAGCAAAACAGGTAGCATTTGTTCATTCTTGACCTACACTCCAGTATGTAACATTTATGGTGATTGTCTTATTTGTATAAAACAAAGTTCTGTCAAATTAAGTGGAGAATTTTCATATAGAAGACTATATATTAGACTATATTCATCAGAAGAACATATTAAGATTAAATAAATGATTAGAACGGTAATCAGACTGTCCTTTTTTGTCTGGGGGAATGGGAATGTAAAGGATAATTGCCCAGAATGGCTGTTTTATTCCAAATATAATGTTTTGGAAGAGCAACTGATGTGGGATGGTAAATTCTTTCCTACAAACTTCTGGTGGATTGTTTTGGTTCAGTCTTACCTGGCCTGTGGATCTGAGTTTGGATTTTTCTGTTTGTTTTGTTTTGGTTTGGTTTATGTTTGGTTTGGTTTTATTTTGGTTTTGTTTTGGTTGTGTTATAAACACTCTACAGTGAAAACTTGATGTAGAATCTTCCTTTCTAAGCATTTGTATATTTGACAGTGGCTGAGCATATAAACACAAACAGTACATGTAACAGTGAATTGATGTAACTCATCACAATACTTTAACATAACTTGAAATTACTGTTTTCCGGATTTCAGCTGTTTCAAAACAGTGGCTCTTCCCTTGTTTCTCTTCATTGCAAGGCATAAATAGCAACTTAGATGGTGACTCATACATTGCTTTCCATGGCTACCAAAGCACACATCTGTTATTACACCCAGGCAGGATTTGGAAGAAGTTACTTGGCTGTAAAAGAAGAAAGTACCTGAGCTGTTAAATACTGCACTCGGACTTTTTGTTTGTTCGTATTTTGCTTCAGGCTCTTAGTGGTTGTCTAAAACTCACTTAAAATTCTATACAACTCTTTCTCAATTGAATTGCAAATAGTGGTAAAAAAAAAAAAAAAAAAAATTGTCTCTGCTAGCAGCAAGTGGAAATTGCTTGGGTGGACTGCCTTCTTCCTGATAGATTTATTGTTTGGTAACTATTTTGATGCTTCAAAATGTAGCAGATGATTATCCTGCAAATTTCTTCTTTGTCCAAAAGCCACTGCTTATCTGTGTTAATGACATTTTGAGAAATGCCCCACATGAAGGATGCACAGGAGGTTTTGGCTCATGTAGCACCTTGCAGTCTGACAGCTGCTGCCTCCAGAAGATGAGCACAAGCACTGCACCTGCTTTCAGAGGAAAGGCAGTGGCTTGCCTTGGTCGGCTGTTTTCCTGGTTTGTGCAGTAATGGGCTAATCCACAGGTCCTAGTTCAAGTGTAGTGAACCTAACAGCCTATTTGCAGGTAAAATAATTGGTCATACAGTGAGGAATGATTTAACAAATCCAATTCCTTCTACTTTATTTGAAAGTCAAAATTCTGTTACTGCACAGTGCACAGGCCAGTGTTTAGCCTTTAGTTAAGTATTGCCCTGAACAAGGCTAGATGGTCTCTGACAGTCTTTGCTCCTAAACCATGCCCACTCTTTCTCCCCACCCCTTCCCCTCAAGATTAGGAATAATTCATCATTCAGGTAATTTAATTGATGCTCCAGCCTGCTGTTCAGGAAGCTCCCTGCAAGGCTAACCTGTATAATCAGTACAAGAGAACTCCCTGCAATGAGCAGTTGCCATGGAAGTATTATGTTGTAATTAATTGTTAATGTTTAACAAAATTAAAATAAGAAGTTAAAAAAAAAACAAAAAAAAAACAACAAAAACCAACAACACCTGTGTCTGAAGCTATCAGAAGGTCTGGCTATTGTATGCAGCTGTCAAAGTTGCAAACGCAGCCCCCAAACACGGTAATTTCCTTAGTGAGCCTTTTGCCAGGGTTATCTGGGTCTTCGCATGGTAGCTGAAATTCCTCCTTATGGAGCTGTAATGGCCTGCAACAGCTGCATGCTGCATTGAGCACCATGTTCTCAACATTCAACCTGTTTGGAGGAGAGGGAGGATCAGGTAGGACTTGCATACAGCCTTTTAGGTTTTGTTCAAGAATGGAATTTGGAACAGTCTTGTGCAAGCAGTGCAGAAGCAGCTCATCCACCTGGTGCTTTGTCATTGATTAGCGCTGCAAAATGTGTAATAGATGAAACAAGAAAATCTTTTTGGGCTTGCATGGAAAAGATATTTAGGTAAGAACAGCTGTGAACGAAAGAAAAGTTGGTAGTCTGACTGTTATCTTCAATAATTAAAAAACCAACCCAAACCTTGCAGTATTGCCATACTTTGTTCAGAAGTTTAGGTGGGAAGATATTCCTTGTGTGCATTGCAGTTCTCTACGCACTGTTGTTCTGTACAGGTGCTCTTTAGCTGGCTCATACCCCAACACTACATTGCTGGGTATAGATCACACACATCTTTTTCTAAAGATTTTGTAAAGGGAGTGAGAGCTGACAAAAGCACTACTCACAGGTGCTAAAGAAGAAACAGCCTTAGTGTACTTATATTATAGAAGCTCTCCAGTATCCTTACTTTGTTGAAGATGGACACAGTCCTTCACATCGGCTCAAAGTGATGTTTGCAGAACAGCCTCTGTAAGTTATGTTTTCTTCATATTCCACTTTTTTACAAAACTCTGTCAAACACAGAAAAAGGACAACAAACATTTATATGAATGATAGAGTCTAAAAATTAAGTCTAAAAAACTTCTATTCCTGATAATGATGAAACCACAAAGACATAAATGAAACAGTGAGCTGGCTAATTTGCAGGGAATTATTTCTGGTTCAAATAATGGATGCAATGGACTTGAAAAATTCTTGATTTGGTCATTTCTAAGATTTTGTTTCTTTACAGACACAATATTATCAGCTAAACTTTTGAAACTCCCTGCTTGAAGAAAGGTTATAGACAAAATGAGCATTGGTGAAGGCAAGGCTCAGTTAACGCCGAGGCAATCACACACACTAATGTACTCTCCTCTACCTGCACATCATAAACTAAGAGGAAAACGCACAGTGAAAGTGCTGTAAGATAGACAGTAGAAAAGGAACAGTTTACAGTAAAGGAGGCAGTATGATATGGTTGAAGTATGCTTTCCAGATAGGTTCTCCTTTGTCTGTGGAATTAACCCAAAAGAGAACGCAGGAATTGGCTGAAATTGAGAAGTTCTTTCTTTCCTGGGTCCTCAAACAGCGCTTAAGGCATAAAAGCATTTATAACTGCCCCTCCTCCCCCCTCTTCCCCCCCCATCATGTAAACATCAATGCACTGTGAAAACAAAGACTTCAAGGCAACGTTTCCATATTAATGCAGAAAGCTCAAAACAAAAAATACAGTCAATATATACAATTGGATTAGCAAAGAATATATCTCAGAAAAATTCACACACACACAAAAAAAGTACTAAACTCTAAAATATGATAGAGCAAATGACAAGGAAATACTTCACCTTGTGGTACTGTCGATGGCCTAAAAGGAGACATGGAAGTTGAAAGACCAGAAGTGACAGAAAGAGCTGATGTGGTGCGGGTGGTGGTTAATGTCGTCGTTTGAATGGACGTCTGTTCAGTGGATGGGATCTCTGTGGAAGCAGTAGTGGTGATACTGGGAGCAAACTTAATTGTGGTAGGTAATAGACTTGGGATCACAGCTGGAGAGGATTTGGCAGAGGCAGCAGTGGGAAATGCTACTGAAAATGTTTCACCAGGCGGAGTAAAAGAAAACGTGGTGTTGTGTGTGGAGGACGAATATGTAGCACTCTCAGAAGAAGGAAATGTGGAAGTAGAGAGGGTTGTAAGTGTAGGCTCTGGTATGGACACTGGGGGCGAAGTAGAGAAGATTGTGGACGGGGCAGCAGATATCAGCTTAGTGCTGAGAGGACGGCTAGGGGCAGGGAATGTCGTGGTCAGTGGGACTTCTGGGCTGCTGGCCTCGCTGGAGATGGAGATCTTGGAGATGCTGGTGGTAGCGGGTATAGCAGTGGTCTTCTCTGTGATGGTATACGGCACAGCGTGCAGTACAGTTGTCTTTTTGAGGGTGGAGGTTGCTGGAAAGAAAGCATAGGTTGGTTGAAGGAAGACATGGGAAGGGCAATGATGTTATCTGTTCCCAGGCAGAAGCCCCAGGATATGCATGTGGGGCGGTAGGATCTTGCTGCGCTCTAAACTATTGCTGGTCAAAAGGCAGGAATTGGCCACTGGCTCCTTTCCCACTTCTTACTTTTCCCTCCCTAGAAAGCTCAGAACAATGCCTCAGGGCTGCCCTCCAACACCAGAAGAGGAAGAGATAGAAGGCTACCTCTCTCTGGAAAAGGAAACTGCGTGACACTGGCACAGGGCACTGTCTGCCCGCACCAATGCAGGTAGGGTGTTCT